TTACACATCACCATAGCAACCAAACAAATGAAAACTGAGTGATCATTAAAATTCAATACATTTAATTATGACTCCTACAAGGAGAAACGAGCAAAAGACACAGGTAAGCAGATGTGTCATTGGATAATGGCAGGTTTTGTATCCTAAAACATTAAGAATCAGGATACTTTCTTAATCCCTAAGGAAATTATTTGGGTTACAGTTCCTCCAAGAAGAAATGGTAAAAATAGTAACAGTAACAGTAACAGACTAAACTCCAAACAATATATACAATAATATAATATTAATTAGTCAGTGTCAATTGTTGATTTGTCCTGTTCTCATTGTATGACGAATTATGATGTCTGTTTAGTAGCCGTTTGCATACAACGTTTGCATACAATGCATACTTCGTCTCTCTCTTCGTGTGTGAGGAGGAGGGGGGGCGCCAGAGGGGGTGTTCGCCCAGGGCGCCAAACAGGCTAGGACCGCTACTGCCTGTAATCATTATGATGCTATAACTTGAGATCCAATAAATAAAATACATTTTTGTACAAAGCATCAGTATCGGATCAGTATTGTCGATACCACCCTGAATATTACTTGGTATCGGATCGGAAAGGAAATCAGTGGTATCGCACATCACTAGTACTCATAAGCGTGCGGTCGCTGGATTGGGACACAGCTTATATATGGCAGAGCAAGAGAAGTAAAGTACACAGTGAAAGAGGGAGGGAGCTCCTACAGGTGAGCACATTTAGGTCAGTACCTGCACCACAATCAAAAACCAAAAACAGAGACACCTAGTGCTCAGAGTTTTTCTGTTTACAGTTGCAGGGAGACACACAGCAAGTCTTCATTCTTGAAAAGCTGGTGCACAGAAAGTTTGCCTTTGTTAATCTCTTAAGTACAGTGTTTGTATTGTATTGTATGTACTATATTCCTCATTTCCAGTTAATACTTGTACAGCTGCTGTTATTGTGTGTATATATATATATATTTATATTTCTTCATACATTCTTATATATTTCTATACTGTGTATTTTGTTGTACAGTTATTTTATTTTCAACTTTAATTTATATATTTTATCTTATTCTTTCCCAGTTAAATTTACCCTTCATTCTAATTTGTGTTGTACAGTTATCTCATTCTTAACTTAATTTTTATATTTTATTTTATTTTATTCCTTCCTGGTTAAATTTACCCTTTTTTATTTTCATATTTATTTCCTATCTTATTCATAGCCTTTTCTTTTTTCTTTAGGTCACGAGAAGTTGTCTAAGCATTTCACTGCATATCGTACTGTGTATGACTGTGTATGTGACAAATAAAAATTTGAATTTGAATTTGAATTTGTGGAGGGGGCATGTGAGGGCATGTTTATCTCGCGTATGGCCGCTATGGCCACTAGATGGCACTGTTGGATTAATTTGAATGTGAATGCCTTAATTTCCATAGAGCAAGGAAATTTGGTTTAAAGACACATCTCTAGAATAATACTGATGTTAACATTTCTTTAATTAACTGGGGATGTTATATTCATAATTATCTGCATATTGTATTTTGTTAATGTAATTGTTATTTCCTTGTTCATTTACTTTCAGACAATACTCACACTGTCACTCCTACTGATGCTCCTACAGAAGTTTATAATTTTGCTGCACAAATGCTGGATCATAAATTAATTCTCAGACTGCATTTGAGGGTCTGCTGTGTGTTCAAACCGGTGCAGCCCTACCTGCCAGCACTATTCAATAATTTTTTAACATGTTTAATTTTGTTCAGGAAGATTTGAGAAGCTGAAGTTCAAATGTTAAAGGGATTTGTGGAAGGAGCCACAGCTTTGTTTAATAGTAATAAAAAATCTCTATGTTGCTGAATTACATTTCCAATCATGCATGAATAACAGCAAAACAGTTACGGAATAGTGAGTTAAAACAATTTTTACATTTTGAACAACTGAATGTAGAAGCACCCGTAAAAAAAAAAATCTAATTCAGAAATGTAGCCAGTATCTCACATAAATGTATTTCAAAAACTGAGCGTCTACTGAGCACTGATAAATACATAAGTTAACCCTAATACACATGTTTTCATGGTTGCCTTTATGTGGCACACCTCCTTAGCTGCCTTGGTAACAGAGAAGTAGTTCCTCTATGTGCGACATTAATTAAAATGTCTCCGTGATAACAAAATATAAGCAAAGACAGCGTCCCAAGCAATGTGTAGGAGCTTGAAGAGTGAGAGGATGTGCATTAAGAAGTCATGGGAGACACAAACACGCAAATGGACCGCTGTGAAGTTATAATGCGGTAGGATCACATTAAATATCATGCATGTAATAAAGTGTATCTCTGATTTATAAACACTAGGTGGCAGCACAGAACCAGAAGTGTATCTGCTGATAAATGAGCTACAGGGCCATTGATACTGATGGTGGAAGGGGCTGGCTTATTCCCAACTGGGACTTTTGTTTTTGTTTTCCCTGGCCATGGTTCAGAGTCATGTGACTGCATGGCAGCTCAACACAGCAGAGCAGGGAGGAAAGGTCAGTGCAAAGTGTGGATGCATGAGAGGAGCGCTGTTTGCAGTGACATGTTTCATTTCTGATGAACGGGAGCATCACACTGAACTTACACAAGACAAACAAACTTAAGCAGGGGTGTCAAACACTAAGCCCGACAGCCAGAATTGGCCCGGCAGGGACTTCAATCTGGCCCACTGAATGGCATTGGAAAACATTGGACTTTTGACTGTATTTTCACAGGTTTTTAAACTTTTCCAGCTAATAAAGACCTCCCCATGCCTATCGTACTACACCAAAACAATTAGATGATAGTGAAAACCCTGGAACTTTCCTATCTAATTCCTCATTTTTAATCCGGGTAGTTAATGTGTAGTTACACATCCTTAGACTGAAGAACAGTGAGTTTATCTGGTCTGGCCCACTTAGGATCAAATTGGGTTTTATGTGGCCTGCGATGTAATATGACTTTGACATCCATGAACTAAGGCATCGATCCTATTACGCTAGCATTGCTCTGATACCAGTATAACCATTTAGTATCAATACTAATGATATTTAGATTGATCTGCACCCTTAGCTTGTGCCCCTAGCAGGAGCAGTATTAGGAAACTGTTGTGAAATTCACCTTCAGGATTTTGTAACATGTTTTTACTCCATAAGTGGTCGCTTGTCTGACAGGCATGTGTTTCAACTCTATACAGAGAGCAACTCTATACACAGAGCTGAGTGAGGTTGATAAACTGAGATTGGAGTAACAGTAAAGTTATGTTTGTGGATGATGAAGCTACCCTGCTCACCTTTTTGATAATGAGTGGGGAGGAATGAGAGGAGAATGTAGCATGGATTTAAAATGTCTCACTTTTTACAGTTATAAACTCTTAACTCTTAACAGAAAGCACTACCAATCACCAGAGGAGGCTGGCATACCAACCTGTGTCTGTGTTGTCGTGAAGAGAGCTACAAAGACAAATGATTAAATATCAGAACTTACTGTGTTTATAACTGCAAGTGTATAATAATAAGTGTATAATGATCCGTTTGATTTTGTTTTTATGTCCATCACAGTGCTGTCAGGTGTTGGTGCCATTGTTGTTACCATCCCCCAAAGTCAGTGTGAGTATGCCAGAGGGGACAACATCACACTGCCCTGCTCCTTTACAACTACAGCTCCCATAAACTCCCAGACATTAGTCATCATCACCTGGTCTGTTTTTAGTCAGCAAACACCCATTGAAGAGGTTGGCATTTACCTGTCTTTATGAATCTCTCGAAATAAATATTAAAATCCTGAGATGCAAACATGTCCTTGTGTTTTTTATTCTTCTTCTAATCCTGTCATTTTCTAACAGACCCGGATCATCACCTACTATCATGGCCCTTCCCCAGCTACTGACATAGACACTGACTATGAAGGTCGGGTGTCCCTGGATGTAGATGTCACTCAGGGAAAGGCTAACCTGAAGCTTTCCTCCATCTCACTAGCTGACAATAGAAATTTTGAGTGTCGTGTGCAGACCCCAGGTGACAAGAAGGGCAAACAAACTGCCATCACAAACTTGGTGGTTCTAGGTAATATGTCGGCTGTCGTTTCTGCATTTATATATCATAAGATGTTACACTCTGATGTTTAACCTTTATATGTTCTGATATGTTGGTTATTCTTATCTAAAAGAGTGTCTGTGCATGTTTCAACACTTACTGTATCCTGTATATGTATGTTTTTAATGGTCATAATGATTGTGGGCTTCCTCCTGCTGTTCAGAGATATGACTGTTGCTGAGTCCATTTCCTGTACGCCTTGCATTCCATTACTAAAGTAATCACACTACATTTATATTTGTCTTCTTTTAGTGGCCCCCTCTACACCCGTCTGTAAGATCCAGGGAACAGCACAGTATGGCCAGAATATCACCTTAACCTGTGCATCTGCAGGAGGATCTCCAACGCCCACTTATAGCTGGAAACGTTATTGTGAGCATAATCAGCCAGTTCCTCAAGACCCCCAAACCACTGACAGTAAGTGACACTTTGATCCTTTAAAATCTTTGCTAACAAGAACAAATGTGGACATGATCAGAGCGACACTACGCTTGGTGTAAAAGTGAGCTTTACTTTTGTTTCACAGCCAATATCTGTAAGTCCATGTAAATTTGTGCAATCGCATTGATTTAAGAATCTGATTATGGTCAGCACTAAGGCATCAAAATCCTGTTTTGCAGTTATGCTTAATCTGTATGTTGCTGTTACTGTATGTTTTTTAGTTTAGTTTTTTTGTTTGTTTGTTTGTTTGTTTTTTTTTGGGGGGGGGGGGGGGGGGGGGGTTGTACTATATTTTATAAACATTTTGCACTATACTGCTGAGTGACTGTCTTCATTGCAGTGTTGACCCTAACTTGCATATGACAAATAAAAGTGAAACTAAACTGAAATACATTTCTAATCACACATGAATACAAACACATGGCTGTATCTTATATAAAACTATATACAGACTCATAAAATTTGCTGGTGATCCTGTGTTTGACATGAAGACATCCCACTGTGAGCACATGGAGTGATGTGCTTAACAAATAAAATGCACAACAATGTTGTAGTAAAATATAGAAGAGAAAAAATACAACAAGTCAAGAAACAAGTATTAAAACAGCAACAAAAACTAAGGTTGTTAAAACCAAAATATTTAGGTTGATGTGTGCTAAAAGGCACACCATAAAAATGTGTCTTTAGTAACAATTTAAAATGTTCGAGCATTTGTGCAGATCTAATATTAAGAGGCAGACTATTCCAGAATCTGGGACTTGCCACAGAGAAGGCTCTGTCGCCACGAGATTTAAGTTTAGTCTGTGGAATAGATAAGGTTAGTTTTAACCAGAACCTCGTGGTTCTATCTGGAGCGTAAATAAAAAGGAGCTCAGACTGTTTAGTGATTTAAAAACAAAATGAAAATTTTTAAATTGGATCCTGTAAGAAACAGGCAGCCAGTGTAGACAGGCCAAAACTGGGATAATATGCTCCTTCTGTTTTGTACCAGCTAGCAGATGAACAGTTGCATTTTGGACCAACTGGAGACGATAGATAGAAGCCTGGTTCAAACCAAAAATATAGAGAATTGCAGTAGTCCAGTCTGCAAGTAATAAAAAGATGAATAACATGTTCAAAGACATTAGCTGGAAGGTATGGCTTAACCTTGGCTAGCTGTTTCACATGAAAAAAGCTGGATTGGATTACTACGTTCATCCTAAGTTCCTGTTATTCATCTGAAAGAAACAGATAGAATGAGCGTGTCCTTACAATGGTAATGCCAGGAGAGGCAGTATAAGTTCTGTGTTACATTTATGTTGTAAGAAAGTGGGAGAAGAGCGTGTCCTGTAGGAGGCAGTGAAAATGGACACTGATGTTCTGAACATGTACTGACAAGACAGTTCAGTAAACAAGTTGCAACCGTACTCCATTGTAAGCCTCGGTTATTTTATTTTTATTTTTTGAAGATGCAACAAGGTGATTAATCAATCTTGATTAAGATCAAGGTGGGCCTGCAACTGTAAATAGATCACTTTCTCCAGAACTTTTGAGAGAAAGGGGGGTTTCGAAACTGGCCTGTAATTAGTCAGAACAGTTGGGTCCAGGCTGTGTTTTTAAGAAGAGAAATATAGCCTACTTAAAACATGACAGGACACACCTGTACCAAGGGAGGTGTTAATGAATTTCTTGTTTTTAATTCATTTTAATTAATCTGTTAACTAATTAAAGGATTTAGAAGTACAATATAAACAAGCTGAGTAGTTTATCTCCCTATGTAGTGTTAACAATAATTAAAATATATCAGCGATAACAAAGTTGGGGAGTTTGAAGGGTGAAAGGGGGTTGATTAAGCAATCATGGGCGAGAGAAACACACATGGAGCGCTGTAGTAGGATGAATACGTTAATTAATAAAACAATATCTTTGATTTCTAAACACTAGATGGCGACATAGAACCTCCCAAAAAGCTGTGTTCATCAGCTAATAACCAAAATAACCTGCACTTCCGTTGTTATCATTAAAGTGATTACTGGGCTTTTAACTAAGGGTGGGAAAGGGTGACATATTTTCAACAGCAACTTTAATTTTATTTTCCTCACCTTGGTTAAGACTTCACTGCCGCCATCCGTTGTTGCAGACGCTGGAAGGTACAACTGGGAGCCTGTGTAAAGCTGCACAACTGATTGTGAATATGGCAACATTTGAACTTCAGAATAAAATTACAATCGGTCAGTGGTGAAAATCTTCCCTCAGTAACATCTGAGAAGCCATGGAGGTGATCTGCTTTTTAATCTCTTATTATTATTTTTATATAACCTAAATACTGAGTGGAGTTTGGAACTTCGTCTGCAGTCGGTTAATAAATGTATAATGAACTGAAAATCTTGTCTAAAGTTATCATTTAGTTAATGTAATGTAAATTTGTATTTATATAGTCTTATAGAATGCTCCCCATGACACCCTGAGTATACTAAAATAAACACACTACCGAAAAATGTTTGTTTATCTGGGCTTTTATTTTTCGAAAGCAGTTTCCGGAAGTCGTCTTATTTTGATAAACTTGCCGGAGGTCCCGCTTTTGTTGAGACGCCGTCCCGTTAAGTGCCAGTTAACTGGAGCCTGGATACGGATCAGGGGCGAGAAGGAGGCGAAGAGAAGGCGGCACTGGCCAGAAAACAGTTACGAAATTCAACTCCAAGATTTGGAATATGTTGTCCCCCCATAAGTGCTGGATTGTTACTGTTTTTCTGGCAGGTAAGAAAGAGGAGCATTAAAAAATTCCAATGTGATTCCCGTGCGTGTACAGCGCTGCAACAGGTTGTTAAACTGAGATTGGAGTAACGGTAACGTAGTCTTTGTGGATAAGTAAGGTGCCCTGCCTACTTTGTGGGATAATGTCTGGATGTAGTGGGGGAGAATTAAGCATTTAGATGCAAACATTTCCCCTCACGTTAATAGTCACATCAGTTAACTTTTAACTTGGGTTTTAATGCTTGTAGGTCCGCTGAGCTGCAGTCGACTGTTTGTGGGCTTCAGTCATGTGTGAATGATCCGACCAAAAGCTTTAAAGGAGGCTGTGGATTAGGAGGTCTAACATCAGACACGTTTACTGGGTCTAAATTAGAGAGAGAGAAATCCCTACAATACTTAAAAAAACAAACAACAAATAAAAATGTTTACAAATGACAAGTAAAACTAGAAAACTGCAGTTCATCATTTTTATTTATGTCCTGATCCATGCAAAGTGATTGTAATCAGGAGTATGTGGAATATTCCATAAAACACCTACATTCTTTGTTACAGTTTATGTAACATGTTTCCGAAATTTATAGTACTATATAGACACACTGGAGCTGCCAGCTATAAGTAAATGTTATGTGCTTTAAAGTTGTTTTTTTAAAGTGCTATCTTTAATCACACCGACATATATATTAATTATATTAATTAGGGGTACCAACGTTATTGACTATGACTGGAGAACAGCTCTGAAAGAGTAATGGCAAATCATTTAAGAAGCAGATTTACAGATTTTTAAGTGCCACATGTTTTCATCCGATTCTTTTCACATGAAGGCAACACGTTTGACCGACAGCAGGAAAAAATATTTGCTAGCCACTCCCATCTCCTCAGTACTAATATCCAAAACACAGAGCCCCTCCTCTGACTTTTATTTTCTCATCTGGAACAAGAGCGGCTCTGAAAACTTAATAAAGCCAGGATGACCCCACAGTCTGTGATCCCGGAAAGAGCTGACTTGTGGGTTTGTTTGTTTTTGAGCTCCGGTTCTTAGAAATCAGAGTGAGGTTCCCACCTGAGGAATTTATGTTTCAGCAGACTTTAGTTTAAGTCAATTCATTGCTTCATTTATTTAAAAACCTAAGACTTTTACCTGAAAATATGAGCTGATGATACTAATAATAAAAATAAATTAGAGGACAACTTCAAATATTCAGCGTACAGGTATTTAAAACAAAGAAAATAATCATTTTAAATCTGATAAACCAGAATATCTTTCGCATAATTGAATTAATGGTAAATACATGTAAATAATGTGTCATTTGATTTTTGGTTGATCAGCTAACCAAGTGGTCCCCAAGCATTTTGCAGCATGCTGAACTTCCGAATCCAAAAAAGTCCACATCAGTCAGCTGACTAATTGTTCCTGTTGTACTAAATAATGTAAAGTAATGAAAATAATGTAAATAAATTGTACTAAGCCATTGTTTAACATTAGAAATTTAAAAGTTCTCCAAAACCACAGTAGATAAATCAAATCAATATTTGGTGTGACCACCCTTTGCCTTTAAAACAGCATCCTTTCTACGTACACTTGCACACAGTTTTTGAAGGAACTTGGCTGGTAGGTTGTTCCAAACATTTTGGAGAACTAACCACAGATCTTCTGTGGATGCAGATAAATGAAGAGACATCCTTCTGTCTCTTCATGTAATCCCAGACACACTCGATGGTGTTGAGATCAGGGCTCTGAAGGGGCCATACCATCATTTCCAGCACTTCTTGTTCTTCTTGACGCTGAAGATCGTTCTTAATGACTTTGGCTGAATGTTTGAGGTCGTTGTCCTGCTGCAGAATACATTTGGGGCCAATGAACAAAAATGTATATTTCTGAAAGCATTCTTTGTTTACAGCATTTTTTCACACCTGCCTAAAACTTTGCGCAGTGCTAATAGATTATTCTGTTGTATTCTCTTCCAAACTGAGTGACCTTTACACACAACAGCTTTCACAAGGGTGGTATGCTTTAATTGAGCTTCAAAAGATATATGTGGGTATGTTGGAACTCTGGTATAATATGAACATTTGTGTAGTGTTTCTGTTGCAGTTGTTACACCGCTAGTAAACACAACACTGTGCTTGCCCTTGCTGTAGCTTGTTGCATTTTGGATAAATTTACTCAGCTCTCTCCCTCAGGAGCGGGTGTGCTTCATTCTCAGTAACAGAATGAAAATAAAAGGGTCTGGTCTTGATTAAGCCAAGTCCCCTCCCTCTTCATTCCTACCTCTGCCCTTCTTCGCTGTTCCAGTCCTCCCACAGCTTGGCTTGACACATGTACACAAATGCGCACATATGTTCCTGGGCGTGTGTGTGTGTGTGTTTTATTTCACATGACTACCTCTCCTGTGTAATGTTGTTAGTGGACTGTCGATCCCAGGCCCACCTTCATCATGTGACCCTGAGTAGCACAGCTTCAGATGCCCCACAGCAACATCAGGTCAGCTCAGAGTCAGATTTCACTGAGCTGAAGCAACTCAAACCAACACACACGCTGCTTCATTTCATTACAGCTAAAGGAGGAAAGAATTCTTGGGAATTCTTTTAAGTCTGCTGGTATATCTAGATGACGTCATTCACCATCCTCTGGTAGCATGTTTTTCAGATATTTTTAAACTTTGCAAACAGGAGCAGGTGTCTCTTCAGGGCTCTATTCAGTATCTGAATCATTGTGTTGCTGTCTGCAGTGGTATTCCTAAAATAGTGAGGAGGAAAAACTATCTTTTAACAGAAGAATCTTCTAGCAGACCCAGGCTCAGGGTTCAATTTGCCATGGCTGACAGAGTAAATTGGACAAAATGTAACAACATTGTAGTAGCACACTGGGGGAGTGAAACGAGGTGAGTGGAGAAGAAGTGCTTAGTGGTCTCACGTGAATTCCCACACTACAGCCTAACTGTAAGCTTAACCACAAAGGAAAGGTTTCAGTCTAATCTTAAAAGCAGAGGGAGTGTCTTCCTTCTGAATCCAGAGAGCTGTCACTGGATTGTTTTGAAGAACATCTCTCATACTTTACTAAGCCTTCTTCATCATCTTCTCCCACAGGTGTCTTCCCTCCATCCAGCTCCGGCGTCCAAGTGTTTGTGAGAGATGAGAAGAAGTATGCTGTGCTGTTCCAGTCAGTGGTTCTGCCGTGCCAGTACACCACCGTGTCCTACCAAACCGCCGTGGTGCAGTGGGTCTACAAGTCGTACTGTCGTGACCGCACCAGGGATTCATTTAGCTTTCCCGACAACTTGGGCGGAAGCCTGGGTGGGGGAGGGCTGACAAGCGGAACGGGAGGAATCAGCGGAGGGTACGAGAAGGGGATGACAGCCAGCTACCTCGACTGCTCTGACAACAGTCGGACCGTCCGAACTGTGGCTTCCATCTCTGGTTCCTCAGTCACATTGTCAGAGTACTACAAGAACAGAGACATCTCCATCATTAACAGTAAGCGTCTGTGGCACTACCTCTGGTTGTGTTTTATTTTTCTAAGATACATTCAGGTCATACAGCAGCACTTTTTTGTGGCATAACAGGCTGAAATTGAGCTCACCAGCATTATAAAAGGAATTACAGCACGCTTGCTTGCAATTGGCAAGGGCTGCAAAGATAAAATAATGTCTGAACAATATTTTCAGCATCACAGATTTCCCTCAGTGCATTGATTCAGTCTTATGTTCTTCTTTCTTGTTTTGCCAAGCCTGGCAAGGTTCATAAAACCCACAGCTTGGGCACAGGCTCACCTTTCTCCCAGATTCCTTAATACTTAAATATCCAAAAGGAACAAGTCAGATGCTGCAACATGTGGAGTCTATTAACCTGTTGCTAAAATCGGCATACTTTTTAACACTTTCAGCTGTTCTGAGTGTGAATAGTTTTTCAAAACCATCTTTTCAGAGACCAACAGAGACGTAAAATATGTATATAAATATCTGAACGCCGTGTATACAGGATTGTGTGTAGTTGTGTGTGCCTGTATGTGTGTGTTCTTGTTGAATACAGAGAGGTAGTCTTGTGTGCCAGCCTCAGATTTATGGAGCTTCTTGAAGAACTGGCCTTCTCTTCACCAGCCAGGGCTGCAGACAAAAGAAATGGTTTTCACACTGTTCACTTATTCACTCTGACCTCTGACTCCTCCCTCTGATGTACCTCAATGTCCCGCTTTTAGTTTCACTCTCTTGATCACTGGACATCCCACCCTACCAACAGTCACTTCTCTCAGTGTAAGGCTCTTTGAGTCCCTATTTTCTCCTTCTCTTCTTGCCTCTTTCTGTCCCCACTCCACCTCCTATCACAAAACAGGTCAGTGTTGTAAATGGACAAAAAAAAGTGAAAAATTTCAACCTTGTTGCTTTTGGAGACGACCAGTCATCCATTCCCATGTAATCCTATTCAGGGTCCCAGGGAGGTTGGAGTCTGTGCCAGCATGCACTGGGTAGGGGGTGTTCTGCTAACTAAATGGCGTACATGGTACGCACACAGTTTAAAGGAAATTATAACATACTCTGAAGACAGCAAGAATTAAAAGAAAAGAAAAGGAGATGTAGTTTTAAATGAAAAAAGTAGTATTAAGTAGTAAAAGTAGATTGTATTCCAGACTGGTGACAGCTTGTCTCTCCTCCCCTTCCTCAGTTAGCAGGAAAAGGAAGTAAATTATACAACCCATTTCCTGTCTGTATTTATATGTCAACCTCCTCACAATAGAATCATTGGACCAACATTGTCTTTTATTTTGACTCCTGAGCCAAATGGAGCAAAGTCTGCAAGCTAGTCATGTTTATGCACATGGCTCTCCCTCTTTACATCATATCACCATCATATTACATCTTACACCAAACCCACCCTCTTATTTGGTGTTCTAGCTAAGCTCCGTGATTTTCCTCAACTGTGACAATGACATGTTCCTTTTATCACTAGATTTCTATATGTAACATACAATCACTGTTTTTTTTTATTAGGTACACCTTGCTGTGCTGGGTTGGGCCCACTTTGCCTTAATTCTTTGTGGCATAGATTCAGCAGGTTTCTAGAAACATCTCCCATTCCACTGAATTGAGATCTGGTGACTGTGGAGGCCATTGTCATGTTTAAGAATTATATATTATATATTTGAGCTTGTTGACATGGTACATCATCCTGCAGGAAACAGCCATCAGAAGATGGGTACATTGTAGTCATAAATGGTCAGCAGCAATACTCATGTTGGCTGTGGGGTTTAAATAATGCTTGGGTGGTACTAAGGGGCCCAAAGTGTGCCAAGAAAACACCCCCATATCATTATACCATTACCACCAACCTGTACTGTAATATATCTATATATACAGTATTATAGATATCTATATACTTATATTATTGCTAATATATATTTGTGATATATCTATAGTATGGCTAAAGCTTCTGGATGGATGCAAACTGCATTTTGTTGCCTTGCACCTGTGACATGTGCAATGACAACAAAGTTGAATTCTATTCTATTGTATTCTACTGTTGATGCAATGCAGGATGCAGCCATGCAGCAATGTTGTTTATGCCAAATTGTGATTGCTACCATCTGAATGTGGTAGAGAAATTGACAATAAGCAATGTTTTTCCAATCTTACTGTTCAACTGAAAACGCTATGTCCAAATGAACAGAATCAACTTTTTGGGATTTCCTTACCTGGATCATTGAGCATGCATCAAGACAAATAAATCACCTTTCTTTCCCACTGAGATGTCTTCATACCTAAATGCACTGAGCTGCTGCCGTGTTATTGGCTGATTTCTTAGTTTTGTAACAAGAAGTTTAACAGTTCTACAAAATAAAGTGGCTAGTGAGTGTAGACGATTAGCTTGGACCTTTAAATCCTAACTGTATTTTGCTCTTTTAACCTCTTAAGCCCCAACGCCCCCTGATACGGGGGCAAAAGGCAGGAGATCAGTTAGGCTTGGGGCTTAAGAGGTTAATGTGTCAGGGATTTTCAAATATGCTAAATGACATTTTTCTGAATCCTTTCACAGTCATGAAAAAATAAAAACAAATGACTTCATACATTATCCTGAGCTCACAGACAATATACTGAAAAACCTAACTAGCCTACACATATCCCTGAACTACTTTGCTACGCAGACTGTGAGACCGGCCTTATTGCCCAACATCAGTGGCCACTTCACTAAGGGACTATTAAGTGGCTGAAAGGAAACAAACCTGCTGCCAGGCTCTGAGATTTTATTGAAAGCTTTTCCACAATGGCAGTTAGCCTAATTAATGCTTGTGGTATTCAATGAGATGTTTGGCAGTGTAATGTGTGTAGTACTTTGTATCTGAGTCTTTGAACTTTGTAGAAATGCAAACAAACAGGGAAGAAATATTCAGGGTAATAATTCCAACCATGCACATTCACATGCTTTTGAAAGTCATGCTTTTTTTTTTAAATTTTGATTCCAGAGTGCCAAAAATTGTAAGACACTTGTTTTTCTTTCAACTCCCCCAATTCAGAGGCTGACCTGAGGATAGGAGAGGTCCAGTGGGGAGACAGTGGAGTATACATCTGCAAAGTGGTCATATCTGATGACCTGGAGGGACAGAACGAAGCGTCTGTGGAGCTTTTGGTTCTTGGTGAGTTGCTTGTAATTTACATGGCATTTTTAAATGAAAGATAAGAACTTGCAGTCAAAACTAAGAAGTGTCATAATTATTGATGTAACCTGCAAATATATGTAGCTTGTAAATCAACTGAAACACTGTGTTAAAAGTCATTGATTTCACAGAAATTTGTACAGTGTTAGACTTGAAAACTAAGTCCTTCAGCGTCACTGTGTGTCTGCACACGTGTGTATTTTGAATGTATCAGTAGGGTGTTGTGTTACAGTAACAGTGTACTTGTCTTTGTTCACTTACATGTTACCAGAGAAACTGTTGAGAGGCTATGTAGCTCTTGGTGCCTTAAAACACTCAGGCTGAACTTTTGTTAGGCTGGCACTCAAAGACTTATGTGTATGCACGAAAGGACACAGTCTCTCTCACACACACTCACACATACACAGAGGTAATCAGCAGTAAGCTTTTACAGTTTCCTCTTGACAGAGTGAGTTCCACTCCATAGTTGTGTTACAGGTTCCATAACTGTGAGTTTTCACCCTGATGTGATAAATCCACCATGGTGCTAAAATGCTATATTTTCTGGTTTTAGTGTAGCTAATATGGCATGTGAAGCGCTTCTTGTGTCTCCATAACAACAGTTGAGGCCACAGTGAATGGCTGAGGGGATCTTTTGTCTTTTGAGCAAATGGGTTCACAGCAAAGAAGACAGGGAAGATTTAATGATGTGGAGGAGGGTTGGCAGAGCACAGTGATAGACAATAGCTGAGGGTGATGCTAATGTGGGCCTTTGAGAGCTCAATCCTGCAGCCGAACAGTCTGGTTTTAAATTTACAGTCAGAAATGATATGGTTCTGATACAAAATTTTCATTAAAAAACAAAATGCACATAGGGAAAATAATTCAACAATTTTCTGCTGCTTTTCTGGGTCAGCTAGACTTCCTGCCAGTCCACGTTTCTCATGTGGTCTCTTTTGGGACTTTGACTCATTTTTCAGTGGAAGGAAAATCATACAAGATTCCAAACATTTTTTACAAATAAATAACTGAAAAGTGGGGTGTGCGTAATTATTCAGCCCCCTGAGTCAATACTTTGTAGAACCGCCTTTTGCTGCAATTACAGCTGCCAGTCTTTTAGGGTATGTCTCTACCAGCTTTGCACATCTAGAGACTGAAATTATTGCCCATTCGTCTTTGCAAAACAGCTCCAGCTCAGTCACATTAGATGGACAGCGTTTGTGAACAGCAGTTTTCAGATCTACGTGTACGTGTACACCACTTTGTATTGGTCTTTCACATGAAATTCCAATAAAATTGATTCATGTTTGTGGCTGTGATGTGACAAAATGTGGAAAAGTTCAAGGGGGCCGAATACTTTTGCAAGCCACTGTATACAGTCTATCTGGATATTTACAAAAGTAGCATTTACAAAAATAGCATAGCAAGTAATTCGTAGTGCACATTTACAATGGAGATTTTAGGTCACATTAGAAAAAATAAAAGGAAAATCTATTTTGAGAAAAAAGTCGAGATGTGAAGATTACAGTTGTTGTTTCAAGACAAACTGCTGCGGTTGCTATACCCGCTGAGTTAGTGAAATCAAACTTCAGAATTGGTTTTAGTAAAAGGAAGGAAAGAATTTCTCTTTTACCTCATAAACACAGTGTGATGGATCAGTATAAGGACATTGAAAAGATGGTCGGTAATGTATTTATTTTTCTTAATCTGATCCTAATAATACATGTTTAATGGCCTAAAATGCAAAGATCTGATACACTTTATTGTATCTAGTTTATACATATTAATGGAAAATTCTAGATACATGGTTAGTGTGATAGACTGATCTCTTGAAACTGTTTAGACAAGTTTGATTTAACCCTGACTATAAGCCTACAGGAAGGAAGGGCTCAATATTGTCTGGTTTTAGTGTGTGAAAACAGCCCCAACATATAGTCTCACTTTCCCCATACATTTAATCTCTGAAGGAGATGTATAAATGGCTTTGTTAAACGTCACCCTTTGGGATCGCATATAGGGTCAAGTATGCAATCCCTGGATATCTGAAAGAAAACCTTGGTTTATCACCAGCCTTCGGGCAAATTCTGGATTTAATAGAAGCTGGACAAGTGCTATCCTTCAACAGCATGAGAATCACAGAAGACACAGCAGCAGATAAAAACAAAATTGCAGCGGTCTGAAGTAAAGCAATATAAATGTCGACATCGTTTTTAAATGCAATAACCTTAATAGGTTTTTTTTTTTTTTAAATCCAGCAAAGAACATGTATAACCTACTAGAAAGATATTAAATAAGGTATGTGCACTGTCAGCTAGAATCAGGCCAAAGTAGTCCAGCTTGCACCCTTTCCAAACTGTTTTTTTATACTTACCACTCCTTTCCTCTCTTTGCCAGAATGACACACTCAGCAGCAAAATACCAGTGTTTGTTTGTATCACACACTCATATGCTGGCTTTTTCACTTGCGCACCCAAACCAAACACACATTCACACACATTTCTGCACCACCTCGTGACACAGTTCCTCTCATGTAACATGTTGTATTCAGACATTTGTTTGATGTGTTAAGGAACATTTGAGAAATTTAAAGAACAACTAGTAAACTAGTATTTATTTTTTATCTTGATATGACTTTAATCTGTCTAACCCTAAACTAAAAGTATTATCTAAAATCGATTCAGTACAATTCAATTTTATTTGTATAGCACCAAATCACAACAATAGACATGACAAGGTGCTTTACATTGTAAGATCCCTACAATAAATTGAAGAGAAACCCACCTCAAATGGCCCCTTATGAGCAAGTACTTGGCGACAGTGGGAAGAAAAAAAACTTTTTTAACAGGAAGAAAACACCAGTGGGACCAGGCTCAGGGAGAGGCAGCCATCTGCTGTGACTGGTTGGGGGTTAGGGGAGGAAGACAAAAGACACAAACTCTATATGTAATATTATCGACAACACATCAGCCTTAACATGCATCACTAGGCACACTGCCATTTTAGTGGAAAACATTAAATTAAATGAAGTGTAAAATTGTGCGGTTAGGCATCTAACATGTGTCTTTATTTCACCCCAATAAACAGTGCTAATAAAGCTGGCCTGGGATTAATGTAATTATTAAGTTCTTGGAAGAAAACTTTTGCTTAATAGGTAAATTGTTTCCAAAATGTTACAAACAGCATAAGAAAAGTAACTGTATAAATAGGAATCAGTAAAAGAAGAGCCATCTGGAGTTCTGATTTTAGCCGACATTTTTAGTGTTTTTTGCTGTAGCAGCGACCTCAACAGCCAATCTTCACCATTTGGTTGACCTGAATAGTTGGAGTAGTTTGGCATTTCAGGAAATACTTCAATATTTCAGGTGCATCTTTCAGCACTATGAATGAAGATATTTATAGTTCTTGAAGCTAAAAGCTACGTGATACACTTGAACTTTCTCAGGAAAATTTGTCGTCTTCTATAAAAACAAAGTCTCATTGACTTGGCAGTTATCTTCATGAGACTCGTTCAAACTCCAGTCTGTTTTTGTTTTTTTTCAGCAGTCAGACAATCAATCTTCTAATCAGTTGATTTGAAATGTTTCTAGAGCAGGGACCATAAACTGTACGCCGAGG